GGATATTGGCCTATAGTTCTCTTTTTTAGTGGAGTCTTTGTTTGGTTTTGGAAATCAGGGTAATGCTGGCCTTGTAGAATGATTTTGGAAGTTTTCCTTTTATTTCAATTTTTTTTTGGATAGTTTGAGAAGAATATGTATGAATTCTTCTTTAAATGTTTGGTAGAATTCCCCTGTGAAGCCATTTGGCCCTGGATTTTAGTTATTTTGGAGATTTTTGGTTACTGATTCAATTTCTTTACTGGCTATGGGTTTGTTAAAGTTTTCTATTTCTTCCTGTTTCAGTTTTGGTGTCTATATGTTTCTAGGAATTTATCCATATCTTGCCCAGATTGCCCAATTTGTTGGCATATAATTTTTCATAATATTCTATTATAATTGTATTTTGTGATGTTGGTTGTTTATTTATTTATTAAATAAAGTTTATTTATTTATTGTGACACAGAGAGAACATAAACAGGAGAGTAGAGAGAAAGGGATAGAGAGAATCCTAAGCAGGCTCCATGCTGTCAGTGTGTAGCCTGATGCAGGGCTCAAACTCATGAATTGTGAGATGATGATCTGAACTGAAATCAAGAGTCAGATGCTTAACCAACTGAGCAACCCAGGTGCCCCAGTTTCCATGTATTTTTTTTAATTTCTTTTTTAATTTCCTGGTTGATCCATTCATTCTTTAATAGGATGTTCTTTAACCTCCATGTATGTGTGGTCTTTCCAAAGCTTTTTCTTATGGCTGATTTCAGGTTTCATAGAGTTGTGGTCAGAAAATGTGCATAGTATGATCTCAATCTTTTTGTACTTGTTGAGGATTTACTTGTGACTCAATATGTGATCTATTCTGGAGAATGTCCCATGTGCACTTGAAAAGAATATGTATTATGCTGTTTTTATTCTGCTCATAAAATATTCTGAATGTATCAGTTTAAGTCCATCTGGTCCAGTGTATCATTCAGTGCCACCATTGTTTCCTTGTTGATTTTCTGCTTAGATGATCTGTCCATTGATGTCAGTGGAGTGTTAAAGTCCCCTACTACTATTGTATTATTGTCAAAGAGTTTCTTTTTGTTATTAATTGTTTTATATATTTGGGTGTTTCAAGTTGGGGGCATAAATATTTTCAATTGTTAGATTGTCTTGTTTGAGGTACCCCTTTATTATGATACAGTGCTCTCCTCATCTCTTGTTATAGTTTTTGGTTTTAAAATGTATTTTGCCACGGATGCCTGCGTGGCTCAGTCGGTTGGGCATCTGCCTTTAGCTCAGGTCATGATCTCAGTTTGTGAGTTCGAGCCCCACATTGGGCTCTGTGCTGACAGCTCAGAGCCTGGAGCCTGCTTCAGATTCTGTGTCTCCTTGTCTCTCGGCCCCTCCCTGCTCATTTTCTGTCTCTCTCTGTCTCTCAATAATAAATAAACGTTAAAAATTTTTTAAATGTATTTTGTCGCACAAAATTATTGCTGCTCTGTCTTTCTTTTGACATCTATTTGCATAAAAAATATTTCTTCATCCCATTACTTTGAATCCATAGGTGTCTTTAGGTCTAAAATGAGTCTCTTGTAGGCAGCATATAGATGAGTCTTGTTTTTTTTTTTTATCCATTCTGACACACCTGGGTCTTTTGTTTGGAACATTTAGTCCATTTACATTCAGAGTAATTACTGATAGATATGAATATAATGCCATTTTAATGCTTATTTTGTCATTGTTTCTAGAGATTTTCTGTTTCTTTTTCCTACTCAAAGAGTCTCCTATACTTCTGGCAGGACTGGTTTCTTGAACACAAACTCCTTTAGGTTTTTTTTTGTCTGGGAAACTCTTTCTATGCTTCTATTCTAAATGATAGATAGTCTTACTGGATAGAATATTTTTGGTTGTTGTGTTTTGCATTCAGCATGATGAATATACTATGCCACTGCCTTCTGGCCTGCCAAGTCTCTGTGGAGAGAGCTGCTACTAACCTTATTTGTCTTCCCTATGAATTCTTTTATTTTGCTGTTTTTAAGATTTTTCTTTACCACTCTATTTGGCAAATTTAACTACTATGTGTCTTGGTGTTGGCCTGCTTTTGTTGATTTTGATGGGAACTCTCTGTGCTTCCTGTATTTGGAAGTTTGTTTCCTTCCCCAGATTAGGGAAGTTTCTCAGCTATTAGTTCCTCAAGTAAACCTTCTGCCCCCTTTTCCCTCTTTGTCTTCTGGTACTCCTATGATACGAATGTTATTATGCTTTATGGCATCACTGAGTTCTCTAAGTCTACTTTCATGTCCAAGATTTTTGTTTCCCTCTTTTGATCAACCTCATTATTTTCAATAATTCTATTTGCTCTGTCACTTATTCGATTCCCTGCTTCTTCCATCTTTGTGGTCATTGCTCCAGTTGATTTCAAATCTCAGTTCCTGAATTTTTCATTTTGGCTTGACTGTTTTTAAGTTGTTTTATCTTTGTAGTAAGGAACTCCTTGGTGCCTTTTCAAGTCCAGATAGTATTCTTATGATTGTTTGCTTTAAATTCTGGATCAGGCATATTACTTATATCAGTTTCAATTAGATCCCTGGCCATGACCTTTTCTTGTTCTTTCCTTTGGGATGAATTCCTTATCTTGGCATTTTGTTTAGATCTTTGTATTCTTCTGTGTTAGGAAAGCCTATAATGTTTCCTGCCTCTGAGAGTAATAGCTTTATGAAGAAGAAGAGGTCATATAATGTTCAGGACCTGGCACTTCAGGAAGTATCTTTGGTGTATGCTTCACACACTCTGCCCCTGTGTTATGGCTGCTCTCCCTCAGGTCAGTCCTCTGCAGGGTTTCTCCTTGCCTGTAGTGGGGAGTATTTGTACCTTGGCCAGAGTGTGGTGAGATTTACCTAGGTATGCTCTGACCTGCCTGTTAAAAAAAGACCTGAATCTATTTCCACTAGAGCTGATGCTTTGCAGAACTCTATGGTCAGTAGATGGGGTGCATGCAGGGGGGGTTGCACTGGTCTTCTGGCAGAGGGACGCACCATGCTGGTTCTCAGGCACACTTTCTCTAGAAAAGCAGTACAGGAAGAGCTCAGGGAGGTGGGAGTTGGAGTATACAGGTTAGGCAGCTAGTGTTGGCCCTGTGCTGTTTACTAAAGTTAGTTTATGCTGAGGGGAAAGGAAGGGAAAGGGCACCAGCCCACTCCTGTGTCCCTGGAGAGAGAAATTCAGGCTTGCTGTTGTCAGGAAAGCCCTCCCAAAAGAGCAGATACTTCCCCTTGTGTGTTATAAGTGTTTTTCAGACCGCTATTTTCACATTATCTGTCTTCAAGTTAGTGCCTGCCTGGACAAGTGCAGTGGACTTTTTGCTCTGTCCCGACTGAGTTTTAAAATTCCAAACTTTAGGGAGCTAGTGTGTCAGGGATCTGTGCTGGTCTTCTGGGGGACGATCTCACTGCACTGGGATTGGTATGGGTTTGACCCAGAAAGGCACGTGCACAACAGCTCAGAAGTGTAGAATTTGGAACAAAACACACTAAGCAGCCAGTGTCTGAGTTAGCTGCCCTCAACAAGTGTCTCTGCACCTATGCTGAGGGGAGGGAGAGGGAATTGGTGCCTGCTGACTCCTTTTGTCCCCAGAGAGACAATGCCACCTCTCTCAGATACACTCTAAGAAGGGGTGAACTGTCTCTCCCAGTACATTTGAGGTGATCCACAGATTGAACCCTCTGCCTCTGGGTTACCTGCCTGCCCACTCTACAGTAATGCTGCAGTACCCTCAAGGCTTTACACCACCCATGTCATGGACCTCTAAAACTCTAGTCTTTGAGCGCCACTGGTTGCAAATACTCATGAAAATCGGCCCCTCTTGTTTTCCCACTCAGTGGCTTTGGGGAAGTGTTTTCCTTGTGTGATCCCCTATGTGCTCTTCTCTCTCCCCATGTCTCCACAACCAGAGCTCTCTCCTCTCTACAGCACCTGTGATCTGTTTCTCCCCAAAACCATGTCTCCACACCTCCTACCTTCCACAATGTGTCCTCCTCTCTCCTTCTATTTGTAAAGTTTTTTCTGCTTTCCTTAGTTTGATTTCTTAGGTATTCATAATGATTCGACATTTATCTGTGTTCAAGGGATGAAGCAAGCCTAGGGTCTTCCTACTACTGTGCCATTTTAGCTCCTTCCCACTCTATACTGTTTTCAAAAGACTCACTTGATGCCTTAAAGTTCTTTATAAACTTAAATTTAATTTTTGTTGCCTTGCTGACATTTTTATTTTGGTATGTTAAAGTCAGAGACTGTCCTCCCTGATCAATTGGAACATTTTATCAATAATCTAATTCATATATATAATCACATGTAGATTCTCTTTTAATTCCTATATGGATCTATGGATTTGGATGTTACTGAAGCTGTTAAAACCATCCATGAATTCTTCCTGTCTAAAGGCTTCTTGTATTCACTCTCATTTACAATGTTAATACAACCTATTTTTAAACATTCAGACTATGAAAAATCTTTCTATTTAGAAGCATTTCCTCTGTGAAGTACAACTATTTTGAATCTGCAGATCATATGCTAATTTAAATCTTTTCTTTCTATAAATTTAGAGCTCATACCTTTAATGATGCCCAAGGAATTTAGTCATTTTGTGGAGCAAAAAATGTTCTGAAGAGTTGATGTCTTCATTGATTTGAGGCACTCATAACTCCAAAAATATAAATCTAAGATTCTTAGTCTTATCTTATAATCAATATTGTTGGAAATTAAGGAATAATTCTACCTGTCAGAAACTATTTTGGAAACAGTTTTCTCATGTGGAAAATAAATGTAGCTATCTGTGAACATAGCCATGCATGTGGTATATTAGAAATTAACTACTAATCAGTTTCTAGGCTTATAGAATATTGTATTCCTTTCTAGCTACTGAATGAAGCCACTAAAATAGCTGGTTATGTTTACATTTCAAAAGAAAATATTTATAGATTATAATAACTTCCCTTATGAAGTGACTCCTGTATGTCTGTATGTGTTGTCTTTTGTAGCAAGTCCATTCTCGGGTCTATGCTATTCAGCATGACATTACAGAGTGAGCCTCCCATAGAAATGATAGCTCCAGGAGTATGGGATATAAGCCAGCCATCCCCAGTGACCCTACAGGTAAGTGTCAGACTATGAGATTAAAATATGTATGGCAAGGAAAAAAAAAGTATTCATGGCAAGTATTGGTTGATGAGTAGCTTGTCAATTATAGAAACAATTTTCTTCTAGGATCACACATTTTAATAGTCTTCTCTTTCTCTAACCTGCTGGGATTCATAAAACCTCTGGTGCTTTTATTTTGTATCCAGTACTCTCAAAGCACTTTTCTCCCAGCTTACATAATAGCAACAAGCCATTCTCCACCAAACATGATCATAAAGGAAAGGGATGGAGCATTGCCATTAGTATATTCATTATGTGTATTCATTTTCCTGTCCATTGTCTGAAAACAGTCATTGGTGTATATTATTAACTTGATACCTTACACCTGTCTCTGCATTGTGTCATGTTTCCTTAAAATACTTCAAGTTTGTGTTTCCTGTATGACTAGTGATTAGCTCAGCAGTGGGGGAGAAACTTCAAACAAAATCTATCCAACATACTTTTTTTTTTCTTAAGGTCTCTCTTCTTTCTGTGATTTGTAATCATGAATAAGAGGTGGCTAATGATTCTGAGCTTTGGTCCTTACTGCTGAGAGCTCCTTGTGTGTTCATCATTATAAGTGATCATATTGGTCTGATACATGAAGCATGGCCACTCCCATATATGGAAGTGCAGGGAATGTCAACTTTCCATATCTATAAGGAAAAACTGAGAACTGCTATATGGATAGCACTCTAGAACTGGATTTCTCAACCTCAGTTGAGTACCAATGACATTTTGGGCCAAATAACTCTGTTTTGAGGGCTGTATTATGCATTGTGGGACATTTAGGAGTATCTTTGGCTTCTATCTACTAACGTGCTGGTAGCACCTAAATCAATTAAAACTGCCTCTTGATATTGTCAGATGTCCTCGAGGGATAAAAGTTGCCCTCAGTTGAGCATAGTTGCTCTAAAGAAAGATAGTGGAGCCTCTAAGCTCTTAAGTTTCTAGGCTCAGAGTGAGGGACAATGTTTAGCAAGATGGATAGCAAGATGCTGAAACTGGAAGAGAAAAATAATACCAATAAAAATGTGGCTTCCACTCTGAAATAAGTCCTCACCAAGAAGTAACCAAAGGTCTATTTCCAATTTACAGACATGATGATGAATAAGTGTTTGCTCGATCTTGGCACAACATCATAGACACTCAACATATGATGGCTTATTGATTAGTAGATGTCCCATTGTAACAGGAAAACTACCTTCTTTTAAGAGGACAATGCATTTTTTTATCAGACTATTCCTTGCCTGATTCAAACTACCTCAGCTTAATGAGAATCTTCCAAGTCTGATCATTACCAGAGCTTTGAGGATATAAAGTTATGATTAGAAGGGTCTTTATCAGGAGTAGTGGGGGTGGAAGAAGAAGGGAGACTAACAGATGATTCTTCTCAGATGAGAGGAATAGCTCCTTTAGAACACAGATCCTGGCAAGTGGAATATACGGACAAGTTTCAAGTATTCAATAGCAGCATAGATTTTCAAGTAGACATCTGGAGCCATAACTAAATTTATCTTACATAAAAAAGGAGAGGCATGTAAATCACTCAAAAGTATGCAAAAAGTTAAATCAATAAATTTTTATAAAATAATTTCAAATTGTATAGACATACAAGGAAACTTCTCAGGATATTTTTAATTAATGATGAAATATACAAAATAAAATAGGAGTTATTAAGGTATTAAAGTTAAAACCCTTAAGGACCAAAATCACTCTAATTATACACAACTAAATTTAGAGCAGAATCTTTCAACCTAAAGATTATAGTGACGAAATTAGAGTTCTGCAACCAGTGTTTGTGTTAAGGAATCAAGATGGGTCTCAGGGAAAAGACATCAGGCTCAGAGTTAGAAAATCTAGATTATAGTCTTAGCTCTTTAACAAAAAACTTTATGACCTTGAACAAATCACCAAACCTATTTTCACCTCTGTACAATGAAAGGGTTACACTATGCCTATCCAACTTCTTGAAGATTGTACTTTTCTGATCGTCTTTATTAGACAGACAGTTACTGCCACATGGTAGCCACCCTAGTATGATAAGGGATGTGATATGGCACAGAACCTGAATCCCTCAAGTCCATCATTTTTTTGGAGGGGAGGGGGTTCTATGGCTGACGCACAGACCAGAAGCAGTGAATGGTGTGAAGTAGATCCGAGTTCAGAAATGGAGACAGATTATTGCATGATTCCATTTACCTGGATCAACTTCCTACCTCTCCCTATATACAATGTAGTACAGTGGCTCTATCACAATTTAAGAACCAAAAGCAGAGTTTTAATCAATGTTGCACTTGCTCTATTCTATATTCCTCTACTACCCCATCTCCCTATTCATGTCTACATTCACTATATTCTGGTTTACTTGTTATTCCTAGTTGGCCTATCCAGTGGTTTCACTTCTCTTCATACTAGCCCTCTCTGCAACTTTTGGCACTCTCTCTTCCCCATTACAGAATACTCTTCTCTCATTATCCTTTCTGTTTCCTTCCCAGGCTCCCTTTCTGCTAATCCTCTCTGTTGACAAGTTCTCAAAGGTTCCATCTGCTACCCAATGCTATTCTCAGTATATATACTCTCCCTGGAAAATTTTCTGAAAAAGCTTTCTTGAGATAAAATTCACATACCATATAATCTTCCATTTAAAGTGTGCAATATAGTATTTTGAGGTTTTTTTTTAGTTTTTTCAAAGATACGTACAATTATCATCAACATCAATTTTAGAGCATTTCATCACATTAAATAGAAATCCCATAACTTCAGCTATCACTTCCTATTCCTCCATTTTCTCCAACTCTAAGAAACTACTAATCTACTTTTTGTCTCTATAGATTTTCCTATTCTGCACATTTCATATAGATCAAATAATATAATACTTGGTCTATTGTGACTGGCTTCTTTCACTTAGCATAATGTTTCAAAGTTCATCTATATTGGAGCATATATCAGTATTCATTCCTTTTTTGTTATTGAATAATATTATATTGTATGGACATACTACACTTCATTTATCCATTCATTAGTTGATATGCATTTAGATTGTTTCTACCTTTTGACTATTAAGATAGCACTACTGTGAACATTCGTGTACAAGTTTGTGTGTAGAGAATATGTTTTCATTTATCTTGGAGATATATACATATATATATATATATACACACACACACACACACACACACACACACATATACATATACATATACAATACACATACACATACATAGCACTGGAATTGCTAGCTCTCATTCATTACTAAGGTTTTGTTCACAGTATGTATCCAGGTTCATTTCTTAGTCTATCTCTAGTTCAGGTTCTTTCACACCACAAGCTTCAGGCAAATATGGCCATATACCTGCTAAAACTCCCAACTGGATATTCCGTAGACAGCTTCAAAGACAACATATTCCAAACTGAGCTCACCTTCCTCTCCAAATTACTTTCACCCCTGAATTATTTATGTTTATGTCCCCCATATACCCTCACTTGTTTCATTTGCCTCCTCCTTGTTTATCCCTACTCAATCAGTATATACTGTATCCTGCCAATTTATCGCCCATATGTTCCCCAAGTGTATCCTCTCAATTTGCCACATCTGCCCTAGTTCAGAAATTCCCTCCTAGGTTACAACAGTTTAGCTGGTTTCTTTGCCTTTAGCTTTGTCATTCTTTCATTCAGAATCCATATGTGATCCTTCTAAAACTTAAATTTGAACCTGCTACTCTTACATTTATACTCTTCAATAACTGAACACTACCTAGAGAATTAAGTCATGCTTTACAGTATGACCCCCCCACACACACATTGTTTTTCTTACCATTCCTTGTCTGACACTTCAAGCTCCAGCAACTTTGAAAATGTTGTTTCTGACATGCACTGTCCTGCTTTTAGCTTATGTGCATTTACAAATACGGTTTCCTCTTGCAGTGTGCCCTCCCTCTTCGTTTCACCATCCACTGCCCACCCCTCCTCTGACTTTGTGTAATTAATATTCATCTTTTAGAATCCACAGGCCCTTCCATAGGAATATCTCCCACATGCTTTCCTCTGTTTCTACCCCAAGTGGGGTTAAGTGCCCTTCCTCTGTGTTCACATAATAACCAATAAGATTTTTTTCAACACATGGGCCACATATTTCTTTCTCATTGACTTGTTTTTCCTATTGACTTCTTGATTTCTGAAAGCATTGAGTGTTTTATCCCCAGAATCCAGCATAGTACCTGATATCTAATATTTCTAAAATTGATGCTGTGCATCTATACCTCTGATCACTATAATAACCCAATCTACAGATGTTTCTAAACTTAGCACTTTGGTCCACTTATTAGAATCCAGATACTAGAGTGTATGGTTTTTCCTTTTATGTAAGTGGCCTTCTTCTTCTTTTTTCTAAGTTTATTTATTTTGAAAAAGAGAGACAGAAGCATGAGTGGGGAAGGGGCAGAGAGAGAGAGAGAGAGGGAGGGAGAGAGTCCCAAGCAGGCTCTGCACTGTCACTACAGGGAGTCTGATGCAGGGCTCAGTCTACGTAAGATCATGACCTAAGCCAAAATCAAGTCAGACACTTAACTGGTGGAGCCATCCAGGCACCCCTAAGTGGCCTTCTTCTTAAACCAGTTCTTCCTTACTCACTCACCCAAAGTATTTTACTTTACCTAACATTTTATTACAGGCTTACTTTTCATTATCAACAATGTTAGGGGGAGGCAACATTCTTATTATTGATATGAGTCCTTTGAACACAGTACATTTGCATCCTAATGTATCAGAGATTTGTTTTGTTTTGTTTTTTCTTTACCATCTCTGCTGAAGTGTCTTATGTGTCCCTCTTTTACAACTCCTTCCTTAAGACTTACCAAAACTGCCATCCAGTTGGTAGGTATGCTTTCTTGCCCCTGAACTACTATAGCCCTTCTGGTCTAATATTTGTGTGCCTTATAAAATCCAAAATACATCTACAGTCTAGAGAGTAGTTCTTTGAACAAGCTGACAGAATCATGGGGCCCCACGCTAGGCCCATGGGCACCTATGGCCATGGATGCTAGGGACATTCACAGAAGCTCCTTCAAGGCATTCCAAGTCATGAAATCATAGTAGGAATCATGGTGGTCAAGTGTAAATGAAGAAGGATGAGGAGAGGAAGTGAAACAAGATAGATAAACCAAACACAAGAAACCAATATCCAAATATATAAGGAGGTGTGAATCAGAGGGTTGATGATCAGGTCTGAATATTTTCCCATACCCCAGAAGAAAGAGCCTCATAATTTTTTGTTGTTATTGTTCTTGAAATCAGGAGTATATCCTCAATGCTTGAGGCAGGAATGTAACAAATAGGTATCATGGCACATGCAATGGAGACATTTGAGATCTCCGGGATTACTCCATTAAAAATAATTTTGAGACCAAAGGCAGGCTTAATTAATCATAATCACAGAAGAAGACCAGAGTCTTCTTAATTAGGCTTTAAGTTCTCTGAAGGTGAGGATACTTTTTATATCCTCCATAATCCGTGGTACCCAAAAAAAAATTCTAAAGCAAATATAATGACATACACTTTAGGGGAACTTCACTTCTGTGAAAAATTAGAACAAACGCCATCTGAGAGAAATTCTAATCTATTCTATCAATGGCTCAAGAACCAGTAATTTTATCTTCATAACTTAAGAGATAATGCAATTTGTATAAGGTGTCACTCATATATCAGAAATTTAAAATTTGTAAGTGAAATATATCAAATAATTTATTATATATTTGTGCAAAGGGATATTTCTATATTTTCATCCAATAGCTTTAGTTTCCTCACTCACCCTGCCCTCTACTTAAAACCAACATGAAATGGAACTAGCTCATCAAATACTATTTCCAGTATTTTTTTAAGTTTATTTATTTATTTTGAGAGAGAGAGCGCGCGCATGTGAGCAGGGGAGAGGCAGAGAGAGAGGGAGAGTGAGAATTCCAAGGCTCCATGCTGTCAGTACCGAGCCTGACATGGGGCTTGATCTCACGAACCATGAGATCATGACCTGAGCTGAAATCAAGAGTCAGACACTTAACTGACTAAACCACCCAGGTGCCCTGATTTCTAGTATTTTTATTTCATGTGTTTAAAAATATTTGGGCATGCAAAGAGTAACTTGTAGCCTGCTAATATTAGAGTTACTTCTCTCTAAGACACCCAAATTAATCTTTTTTTTTCAAGAGGCAGAATTTATTATAATATTATTTTTCTGTGACTTAGTTCTTTTATCATGTTGGAGTAATAAGTGGTACAGTATAACAAAAATTATACCAAAAACTAATGTAGCAACAAATTGTAGAGGTTATAAAATTGCTAAAACTTTTTTCTAGTAAATAACCCAAATAGATTCAACTGTATTTCAAACTATATCCTACAGTCTACCTTATAGTGTTCCTCAATTTTCTCTGAGATCCCAAACGAACATAGTTCAGCAAAGAAAAATTATTTACATTTTTCAATATGAAAAAAATGTATTAAAACATTAAACACACATATGGAGCACTAAAATATCTAGCTCATTTACATAATTTGAAACTGTATATTTTGTTAACTGTTTTTTTTTATTTACTAGAATCATATTTTCACTGAAACATGATTTAATGGAAAGCATATTCTGCCCAAAAAAAGGCCTGAATTCTATCCCTATCTATAAAGCTAAATGATAGAGCCAGAGCAAAAATACTCTATTTGGTTATACACTTGCAAAACAGATCTTTACCAGAGATTTAATGTCTACAGAGTCGTTCATAGCCCTGTAGATTCCTGAGGAAGAAACCAACATAAAGTAATTATTTTTCTATTCCCAGGTGTTTACATGAAAATCTATAATTACCATTTGCAATTTTTATCATTTAATAATAGAAACACATTTTGATACTGAAATGTAGAAAGGATAATTTCAGCATTAAACAAAAACATAATATTTAAATTTATGAAACCTCAAATATTCTTATTATTTTTCTCATTTTTCCTCACACAACATTACAGATTACTAACTTATACCATTTATATAAATAATTGAGTATTTTCCAAATACCATGTCTATTTTAATACCAAGTTCAAACCCTAATGATTCTTTTAAAAATATTTTTAAGTAATAAAGAGCACAGACACATAGGAATTTTCTTTTAGTTTCTACAAACCTAAGATAGAGATTAAATTAATGGTGCATTTTGAGGTATTCAATACATGACAAATCTTTTTTTTTTTTTTATTTCAGATTGCTTTTCCAGCTACTGAGTGGGAGTATATGAAACTTGATTCTGAAGAGAATAGAAGTAAACCAGAAGAACCACCAAAAGAGTGTTTAAAACATATTTCCAGACTTTCACAGAAACAGTCTCCCTTACTGTAAGTGACTCAGGTCTTGTGAGTGAATTTTGCCTGGTGTTCATAATACCAACAACCATATTGGAAGCACTGGTATCTTTAAAGAGTGAACCTTCTAACAAAACTCCTTTCATTTTCTAAAGTGACACCTGTTGGATGATCAATTAATGTTTAGGAGCTAAATTAGAATTTTTATGTTTTTTAAAGATTTTTCTCCCATGGCATTTAGCAACTTTAACTTTAGTCAAAGGATGAATAAAAAGATTGGAAATCATTTAGTTTGGTACAACAAAGCAGAGACTGATTAGATATATTTCAGTGTTTAACAATGATAAACCATTGCTCAACCATCCTTCAACTGAGTAGAAAGTTGTTTTAGTAGATTGGAAAAAGCAACATTTAATTTTTATGCATATTTAAAAAGAATAGATATAAATCATGTTTTAATAGTACTAAATTAGTGGCTAATGCATACTTAAATTTTGTCAAGCACTCATTCTCTGAAAAATGATATCAAATCCCAGGAAGAACTATAAGAGAACTAGTGATATTGGTATTTTCTACTTGGTAATATCTAATCCATCACTGACGGTGCTCATTAATAGCATGCAAAAGCATATAACTTAAGAAGTAACTTTTTAAGTATATACTGTGATGATATATAATGTGATAAAACTTTTTATTCCAAGAATAAGAAATTGTTTAAATATTTTGAACAAGAGAGTAATGTGATCTAAATAATCATTTTGAGTGATCTTTGTACCACAAGTTGAAGAATGTATTGTAGAGAAAGAAAGAATGGAAGCAGTAGAGCAAGAAGGTTGATATAATTTTTTAAAGCAAGAGGTCATGGTGGTTAAGACTAGGGTGATGACAACGGACATTGGTAGAAATGGCTGGATTTGGGAGACGTGTTTTGCAAGTTGAGAAGACATGACTTGATGAATAATAGCAATTAGGGGATAAGCCAACTGAGAAAGCAAGAAATCAAGTTAAGTCAATAGAGGATCCAAAGTTTTGAAAAATTGAATGGGCAGATGTTAGAGTCATTTTCTGGAGAAGGAATAAGTTTGGGCCATTTCAGACTGAAGTGTTCAGTATGATCAAGAGTTCTGTTTTGGAGAATTTATTGCTGCCCTGATTTCTAATTTCACTTTGTAATACTCTTTTCCTCAAGCCAGTGACATCAGTCTCCATGTACTTCCCGTCTCAGGGTCTTTTCATTTGTTGTTCCCTTTACCTGAAATATTCCTTCTTCAGTTATCCACACGACTGAGTCATCTCACTCTGTAGGTCAGGTGTGCACTGAACTGTGATCTTCTCAAAGAGTTCTTTGACTCCCCTATCTAGTGACCTTTTTCTCTTTACTCTCTACCTTATTACCTTTTATCATCACACATAACACAATCTATTGTCATCTTCTTCATTAATGCATTTTTTCCTTGTCTTCCTCATTAAATTGTAAGAATTGAGAGAGCAAGAAACCCATTTATCTTGTTTGTCACTATATTTCCAGTACTGTACGCTGTGCTTAAAAATACTACATGTAAGTGGTGCCTGGGTGGCTCAGTCGGTTAAGCGTCAGACTTCAGCTCAGGTCGTGATCTCACAGTTCGTGGTTTTGAGCCCCGCATCGGGCTCTGTGCTGACAGCTCAGAGCCTGGATCCTGTTTCAGATTCTGTGTGTGTGTCTCTCTCTGCCCCTCCCCTGCTCGTTCTTTGTCTCTGTCTCTCAAAAATAAATAAACATTAAGAAAAATTGTTTTAAATACTACTTGTAAAATAAATGCTATAATGAATAAAGTTCCCTCACACAGTATCTGATATAGAAAGTTACCTTAAGGGTTGTAATTCTCATAGTCCTTATGATAAATTTTGATAATCCATTGTTATACTAAACTACTGTCAACTAGGTGAAGCATCTTTTCCTACCACTTACTCAAAAATATAAAAGATTACATTTAACAAATGTGTCACATATCACACTAATATATTTTTAATTGGGGATTTTTTAAATATGAAAAAGATGCCATGCTTTGAAATTTTAAATATATCCAAACAAAAAAACATCAAAGCAACAAATAATGACAGTAACTTCCTTTAAATATTAGGAGTTTGTGTTTTTAAATTTACCCCAGTGAATCTCAACTTGTTTCAGTCCTCAGTTTCTACTTAAATTAATAATTTACACATAAAACAAGCAATCTTTTCCTCTGTTTCACTTACTCAAATACAATTATTAAGCTCAATACAGGACAATTTTATTCTGGATTCTGAAAAAGAACAGCCTTCAATTTGATAAAACTTGTGTTACAATCAGATTCACTTAAAAAAAAGAATCAGATTTACTTGTTTCAAAATACCACATTTTGTCATTTAGTTGATGACAATTATTCCTTCTTTCTATAAAGAGCTCACCAAACTCCACACCCGAAAAGCAAATAACCCAGTGAAGAAATGGGCAGAAAACATGAATAGACACTTCTCTAAAGAAGACATCCGGATGGCCAACAGGCACATGAAAAGATGTTCAGCGTCGCTCCTTATCAGGGAAATACAAATCAAAACCACACTAGGATATCACCTCACGCCAGTCAGAGTGGCCAAAATGAACAAATCAGGAGACTATAGATGCTGGAGAGGATGTGGAGAAACGGGAACCCTCTTGCACTGTTGGTGGGAATGCAAATTGGTGCAGCCACTCTGGAAAGCAGTGTGGAGGTTCCTCAGAAAATTAAAAATAGACCTACCCTATGACCCAGCAATAGCACTGCTAGGAATTTATCCAAGGGACACAGGAGTACTGATGCATAGGGGCACTTGTACCCCAATGTTCATAGCAGCACTCTCAACAATAGCCAAATTATGGAAAGAGCCTAAATGTCCATCAACTGATGAATGGATAAAGAAATTGTGGTTTATATACACTATGGAATACTACGTGGCAATGAGAAAAAATGAAATATGGCCTTTTGTAGCAACGTGGATGGAACTGGAGAGTGTGATGCTAAGTGAAATAAGCCATGCAGAGAAAGACAGATACCATATGGTTTCACTCTTATGTGGATCCTGAGAAACTTAACAGGAACCCATGGGGGAAGGGAAGGAAAAAAAAAAAAAAAAGAGGTTAGAGTGGGAGAGAGCCAAAGCATAAGAGACTGTTGAGAACTGAGAGCAAACTGAGGGTTGATGGGGGGTGGGAGGGAGGAGAGGGTGGGTGATGGGTATTGAGGAGGGCACCTTTTGGGATGAGCACTGGGTGTTATATGGAAACCAATTTGACAATAAATTTCATATATAAATAAAAAAAAATCAAATTGATCAAATGTAATCAGAGTCAGGAAGTTCAGACTCAATGAAATTCAATGAAAATGTACTTACAATATTTGTAAAAATTTTAAAATATATATATTTTTTTAAAAGGTTTTGTTTTTATTTATTTTAAGAGAGACAGAGTGTGAGTAGGGGAGGGGTGGAGAAAGAGGGAGAGGGGAAGAACCCAAGCAGACGCCCTCATGGTCAGCGCTCAGAGCCTGACACGAGGCTCAGACCCATGACACCGCGAGATCATGACCTGAGCCAAAAGCAAGAGTCAGAGGCTTAACCTACTGAGCCACCCCAGCACCCCTAAAATAATATATATTCTTGATGACAAGTAAAAGAATGTTTCTAGTATGAAGAAGATTCTAGAAAAAAAGATAGGAAAATATTTGTTTTGAAAGAAATTAATGCTTCCACTTCTAGCCATGGAATGCACCTATCCTCCTAACTTAAAGGAATATGACACAAGAAAATACATATGAAATAACTGATTTCAGAAATTGGACAGGGCTTGAGGTGAGCTCATGAATAACGTGGTTTTCAGCCTAGAGGCACTTTCTACATTATGGCTCTGGGAGCCATAATCAAAGAAGAGGTCTTGCTGAGATTTAAAAAAGAAAAAAAAAGTGGGCAGAGATCAGATTTTAATGATGCTGAGGCAGCTGGAATTTCTAGTGTGTAATAGTAAAGAGAAGGAAGATGTATAGGATAAGAGCTACAGAAATATGTAACTGAGTACTAAGCTACTCATGAGCAGGTAGAGAGTTTGCAGGGCCTGCAAAGGAACCACCACAGGGAGAAGTGAAATATATACAGATTCCACAGATTGCACAATGCTGGGAGACATAGAAATACTGGCCAATAAGAATGAAGAAAGATCCCAGAACACCTCAAGCATTCAATAAAGAAGCCAGAAAGATGCATATTAGGAGTAAGTGTACTTTAGCCCAAGATTAAAAACTATGCTACGCCCAACCTAACATATTATAAAAACAAGTCTCAAAAGGCTGAAGCTCATCTGCTAGTACTTGAACTGCTTACTAAAAAAATTGAAACATTCAACACCCAAAAGATGGCAAAATGCAGACTCTCAAAAATGGAGCATTTTAAATATTTAACATAAAATCAATAATTGCTAGCCATAGGAAGACTCCAGAATATATAATCATAGCCTGGGATAGGAGGAAGCAATTAACAGAAACAAATCCAGATATTTTAAAATTAGTAGAAAATGATTTCAACACAACTGTTATAAAGACATCTATGGATTTCCAAAAACAAGATGTATATGGTTGAACAAATGAAATCTCAGTAAAAAAATAGGAAATTTAAAAGCTGGAAAAAACACAATATCTAAATTTTTAAAAAATTACTAGAAAGACTTAATAGATTTCATAATAAAAAAAACAACAGTGAGCTTGAAGAGAGGGCAATAGAAAATTAGCCATGTTGAAGTACAGAAAAAAATAATCATAAAAGGAGTGATCGATTCTTGTGACCTGCTAGACTGACAATATATGTATTAGACACACAGGAGTGGAGAGAAAGATGAAGGCAAAAAGAAAAGGTGATAATAGTCAAAATTTTACAAATTTGTTTTAAAATTGAAACCACAGAAAAAATAAATAAATTAATTAAAATGAAAAATATAAAATTCAACCCACAGATATAAGAAACTTAGCAACTCCCAATCAAGTACACATGCATACCCATATTATAGTCAAATTTCTAAAAACCGAACATATGATAAAAATTTTTAGGGGCACTGGGTGGCCCAGTCAGTTAAGTGTCTGACTGTTGATTTCAGCTCAGGTCATGATTTCATGGTTCATGAGTTGGAGCCCCGTATCAGGCTCCTCACTGCCAGCATGGATTAGATGCTTGCGATTCTCTCTCTCCCTCTCTTTCTGCCCTTCCCCTGTGTGCATGCTCTCTCTCTCTCTTTCAAAATAAATACATAAACTTAAAAAAAAATTTTTAAAGCATTAGAGAAAATGAACAAATTCCATATAGGGAACAACCATAATATGAATTGCATATTTCTCATCAAAAACAATGGAAGCTGAAAGATAGTAGAATATTATCTTACATCTAAGAAGGGCAAAAGAAAATCTATCAACTTAGAATTCTATAACCAGTAAAATTATATTTCAAAAGTGAAGGCAGAATGAAAACATTTTCAGTTAAACACAGCTGAATTTGTTTATGATCAGCTTATCTGTACCATAGAAATCTTAAAGGAAATACTACCAGCTGAAAGAAAATGATAACTAGATGAAGCTCCAACTATAAGAATAAATGAAAAGCATCATAAAGGGAAAATAGGTAGGAAATAAAATTACTTTTACTTACATATTTAACAATTTCTTTAAAAAATAATTATATTTTTATAACTATATAAATATATAATGTATTGCTGCATTTATAATATATAAAATTAAGGGGCACCTGGGTGGCTCAGTTGGTTAAGTGTCCGACTTCAGCTCAGGTCATGATCTCATGGTTCATGGATTTGAGCCCGTGTCCGGCTCTGTGCTGACAACTCAGAGGCTGGAGCCTGCTTCAGATTCTGTGTCTCCCTCTCTCTCTGCCCCTGCCCCGCTCATGCCCTGTCTCTCTCTCTCTCTCTCTCTCTCTCTCTCTCTCTCTCTCTCTCTTTCTTCTCTCTCTCTCTCAAAAATAAATATGACAAAAAATTTAATAATATATAAAATTAAAATGTATAGCAACTGTAATAAAAATGAGAAATAGAAGAATGGAAACATACTGTTTTAAGGTTCTTATACATAAGGCAGTATAATATTTATCAACTGTTGGCTGTGATATACTGAAAGATAATACTGAAATCTCTAGAGAACTACACCCCCAAATTTTAAGTGCACATTTACGGGCTAAGAAGAAAACAAAAATGAAATACCAAGAAAAAATTGAAAAAAAGACAGGAAAAAAAAGGGAAATGGGACAAAGAAATGATTTGAACAACAACAAAGTAATAGCAATGTGGTAGAATCAAACCAATTATATCCATGTTATGTTAAATATAAATAGAATAAAAACTCTAACTTAAAGCAAGAAATTGTCACCTACATTACAAAAGCAGTATAAAACTTTATTCTGTTTACAGCCATATGTTTTAAATATAAGGATTCACCTAGATTAAAATTTAAAAATGGAAAAAGATATGTAAGGAATTTATATCATCTTGATAGATTTAGGGAAAAAAACAATTGATAAAATTTAACACTCATTCATAATAAAAACTCATGAAACCAGGAATAGAATGGAACTTTCTCAACTTTAAAATCCTGAGTTAAATCTAGATCAATGGAAAAAATCTAAAGTCAACATCATATTAAATGGTGCAAGAATGAATGTTTTCCCCCTTCCTATGACGGGAAAGCAAGGATATCTATCTAAATATTTCTCCTCAATGTTGTATTGGAAGTCCTAGCCAGTGCACTATGGTAAGAAAAATAAATGTGTAAAACTGGGAAAGAAGGAAATAAAACTTCCTCTCTTTTCAGATGACATGATTAAGTAAAATCATAGCATTCAACATCAATGTACAAAATGCAATTGTATTTCAGTGAAAAACAGAAAAATTTTGTTTTAAAGTTCAATTTACATCAAAACCTCTACACTAAAAAGTATAAAACTTTGCTAAGAGAAATGAAAGAAAAGGTTATATCATATCATTGATTAGAAAACTCCCTATTGTTAAGATGACAATTCTAATTCTCCCCAAATTAGTGATATAGACGCCACTATGCACCCATTAAAATAATAGTATCTTGAAATGGGCAAAATCAAGTGTTGGCAAGAATGTGGTATAATTGGAACAATCATACTCGGCATATAATAATGTACAATTTTACAAACATTTTCAGAAAATAGTTTTTTTTAAAGGTAGACAGACACCTGACATAAAACCCAGTCATCCCCCTCCTAGGAACTTCCTAGGAGAAATGAAAAATCTATCCAATCTAATACATGCACACGAATGTTTATAGCAGCTTTACTCATAATATCCCCAAGCAGGAAATTCAAATGTCTATCAGATAGGAGAATGGATAAGCAAACTGTGGTGTATTCATATAAAAGAATAATACTCATTAATTAAAATTTCTAGACTACTAATACACTCAATAATATGGATAACTTTAAAACATTATACTGAATGAGAGAGGCTATAAATAAAAGCATTTACTCTATGATTTAATTTGTATGAAGTTCTAAAGTAGGCAATATTAATCTAGAGTGAAAGAAATCCTACCAGTGCTTGCTTCTGTTTGTTTGCTTGAGAAAACTTTATCTTGAAAGGAATGTGGTTTTCATTCAGTACATGCATTTGTTAAAATTTATTGAACTGCGTGTGTGCATTCCTTTTGATGTAAATTATGCTTCAATAAAAGAAAGTAAAACAAATATGTCTTGTTCAATATTGGGGAAAAAGAAACTTAATCAGAGAAAAATAATTTGTTTCAATAATAATTTAGTAATAACTTTGTCATGGCATTTTTTCTTCTGAGGACTCACTCTCTGGTGGGGAAGGTAGTGACAAAACAGGACAGGAGCCCAAAACATACTTTAAAAATCTCTATAATCCATCCCTTTTATTTTGTAGATGAAGATGGCTTTTAAAAATGTAGAGAAATGTAAGCCTTTAAGACATTTTAATATTTCTCATTATCCTTATTGGAAGTTTTAGCTAACTTAAGCTTAAGCAGCATTGTCAGTTTGGAGGAGACAGTGTTCAAAAGCTGTCATTGTCATGTGAGAAATGCTGTCCTCCAGTTGAACTGTGGTTCTGAATGCTTCTGCTGAAGTGTGAGCAAAACATGATAAACTGTCAGCAAGTCAATGGCCCTAGTCCTAGATTTCGATCTTCTGTTTGGAACCATTCTCCAGGGGGAAACACTTGGGCATTTAAATAAATCCTATTCACTGGCATTTTAACTCCAAACTTCCAGCTAAATATGAGAATTTAAAGCCCAAATCCAGGGATGAATTGAGTTTCTCTGTTTTCAAAGTTTAGAGCAGAGTTTTCTGAACTCCGATGAAACTTGCTTTGAGATGAAGGAATATCGTCTTTAAAAGATGACATTTCTTCACGGGCCCATTTGGGTCTAAATTAATTTGTAAAGAAGGTAAGAGATTACCTCTGTTCTAAGTAGTACACATTGCAGGATTCAGATAAAACTTGGTCAGCCCTAAAGGAGGCATAGATTTTGTTAACCAAAATGACGTTGTTGTTGTTGTTGTTGTTGTTGTTGTTGTTGTTGTTGTTTAAGTGACAAAGATAAGAGGAAGAAAAAATAAATATGAATATCTGAAGTCTATTTTATTTTTCTATAAAAGAACAAAGTTAGGGAAGTAAGCTAATAAACTCTCAAATTGTTCCAAGAAAGTAAAGAACTTGTTTTCCAAAGTAAAGTAAAATAAAAGTCAAAGCACTGAGTAAAATTTTGTTCTGTAACATTTTTTAGTGGAGCAAACTCCAACAAATTACAGTTTCCAATCTGGTTTTGCAGACTCTCTGAGGAAAAGAGAAGATACTTATGGTTTTATCGTTTCTACTGCAATAATGAAAACTGCTCCCTTCCTTTGGTCTTGGGCAGTGCCCCTGGATGGGATGAAAGAACTGTTTCAGAAATGCATACCATTTTGAGAAGATGGAAATTTTCTTGCCCTTTGGAAGCACTTGGACTTCTGACTTCTAGGTAAGAATTGCAAAAACAATCATGGTATTACTGATGAGAAAATTTGAAGAGAAAAAAATAGGACTGTATGATTAATTCAATAGCTATTCTGGTTGTTCCCAATTTCAATAGCTATAGATATTAAATTTAGACAAATGTAAACTATGAATACAAATTTTAAACACATCTAAGCTATAGTTGTGTCTCCAGTGCTAAACTGTAAGTATAATTAATGGTCACAGTCTCTTGTGTGAAGATTATAGATTACATGAAGATTACATTACTCTTACAGAAATAACAATGAAATTAAACAGGGAAAAATTAAATTCTCTACTCTGACCCCTCTCAAAAGAAAAAAAGTCCTGAATAACTGGGACCATATCTTTTATTATTGAAGTATACAAAGTGTGGCAAAATATCCCACATATAGTAGGTGTACAATTAATATGCCAATGATAATGATAAGAATAAATTATAATAATATGTAAATATATGTTATTTATTCTCCAGATAGTCTCTCAGAATAAAATACACAAGGATGCAATCAGGGGTGGAGGAATGATGTCTTTTTATAGTTAGGGAGAAATGTATGGGAACAAGTGTGGAAGCTGGCTCTAGTTTGGGGGAACAGCTCTTTTTTGGCTTCTATTCTATATTAAAAGCCAAGACAAGCTTTTTTAAATCTGTCTTGATAGCATCAGTTCAGTGATTCCATAAAGAAAGTCTGTAATCTCTAGAATCAGAGAAGAGTTGTGGCGACCAGTTCTATTCTGATTTCTCTCTCAAGGTCCTACAGAGGAGAAATGTGGAAGAGAGAGTGACGCAAAAGACTTTTCAAATGATATAGTTAGATTTATGTTAAATTAGTGTACTTTCCAAAACGTCTGGGATGGAAAAGGAGGTGAAAGGGTTTTCTCTTTCTACCACAATGAGATACCACTTCATACTCACTGGAATGGCTATAATCAAAATCAAAAAGACAAATAACAATAAGTGTTGGCAAGGATGTGGAGAAATTGAAAAACTCATGCATTGCTGGTGGGAGTGTAAAACGGTGCAATCATTTTAGAAAACAATTTTCAGTTCCTTAAATATTAAACACTGAGTTACTGTATGACCCAACAATTCCACTATTAAGTATATATCCAAGATAAAATACATGTTCACTCAAAAACTCATATGTGAATGTTCAGAGCAGCAATATTTATAACAACAAAAAAGGAGTAACAACTCACATGGCCAATAACTAATTTGTGGATAAATAAAATGTGGTCCATCCATACAATGTAGTATTATTCAATAATAAAAAAAGGAATGAATACTAATACATGTTAAAACAAGAATAAACCTTGAAAACATTATTCTTAATGAAGGAAGCCCATCACAGAAGACCACATATTATATGATTCCATTTATAAGAAATGTCCAGAATAGGCAAATCTATAGATACAGAAAATAGATTAGTGATTGCCTAGGTCTAGGGGAGGTTGGGGGAAAAGAGGGTTGATTGATAATGAACATGAAGTTTCTTTCTGTGATTATAGTTACACAACTCTGGGAATATGCTAAAAACCATTGAACTGTACACTTTAAGGGAACTGCATGACATTTGAATTATATTTCAATAACACTATTAAAATTTGAAAATAATAACTGTCAAGTTAAAAGTAGAGGTATGAATCTCTGTAATATCCAAAGCATAATTTTCTCACCAGACAATATAACAACTTTCTAGTTTTTAAAGCATAAGCCCACTTTATTGGGTGGCAGGGGATTATTATTGTTTTACTAAGATAGATCTTGGTCTATTTTAAAGATATTTAAATGTGTCAATGAATACTTTTTTAATAAAGTTTATAGACTATTTCTTAGAAAAATCTTTTTTTTTTCAATACCCCCATTTTTAAACTTTATCAGAGCTTTTTGATCTTTTTTTCTGAGGTAAATAGGTTGTTGCTCTGACATAACAAGAATCAGGAATTCCCATCAAACAGATTTCATTATGTATAAAGTATATACCAGAAATAGGCAGATCACACACGAATATGCTTTCAGTCAACATAATTAGTGGCTATTCCCTCAAGGGGTAAACCAATAATTAGCCAAATGTATATTCAAGTGCAAATGTACAATTAAGGGCAAATTATTGTAGATCCTAAGTGTCCTATGAATGTTAAAAATGACCTAGCTCCTGCAACAGCTGTATGAAAGCTATAGGTTACAATTTTCATGTCAAAGTAGCTTCATATCCCATCTCTTGAGTTTAGTATTGCATAGCAAAGGACCATGCTGAATATCATGTGAAAGATTACGTGATTCCAATACCAATAAATTTTGATGACTTAAAACTTAATTAACACTGATTATGGTCCCAGTCTCATCAATATATTGCTTGTGTCCTAGAAGCACTTACAGCTCTGTGGGTTGGATCTCTTCAGAACTTTTGTTTCACAGCACTGAAATGTTGAGTGGAAGGTACTGACAGCCCTATTTCCTTTTTCACTCTCTGTAAGGTAATAGTTATAAGCCTCCACACACATGGTCTGAGCACATCCTATAGCTACACCCTTGCCTATAAAAAACAAATATCCCAATGGTTACTTCAGCAGCAAATATCACCTCTAGGCAGGTGAAAATGCTGAGCACACAATGCAACTGTCTCATGGCTTTCTAGCACTCAAAGAAGCTCACAACTGTTATCAGGACCCCTGTTCCAACCAACACATAGAGCCTCATGTAGAATTACTCTGGTGACCCCTTCTCTGATAAGAAATTCTTCATGGTGCCTCCAAACCAAAACCATAGTCCAAAAGCAAAGACAGCCAACCCCATCAGCCAGGAAAGAAGGTTGAAACCAAGCAGTCAATACTTGATGTACCACGGGCACCTCAGGGGGACACCCCCCGCTGCTCACCGCTGTGACAGGATTCTGAGTTCCCAACCCCATGCTGGCTCTGGGAGTCATGGGAGCCTCTTATAAAAATCTTTATCAGAATGAAGCCTATAATATTGCTTAGTTGCTTGTAAAATAAAAGGATTAATATTGCTTGTAAAATGAAAGAATTCACTAAATAGACTTCAATATTCTCTGATCCCTGATAAATAAGCATAATTCTGGGGGTGCCTGGGTGGCTCAGTTGGTTAAACCTCTGACTTCAGCTCACGTCATGATCTCATAGTTCATGAGTTCTAGCACCACATTGGGCTCTTGCTGACAGCTCAGAGCCTGGAGCCTGCTTCAGATTTGGTGTCTCCCTCTCTCTCTGCACCTTCCCTACTTGAACTCTGTCTCTCTCTCTCTCAAAAATAAATAACATTTTAAAAAAAGCATAATTCTGCTTATAGTGAGCCTTCTCTACCTGAACAGAAGCTGAAAATCTATTTGACTCAATGTTTTATTTTTTTTTTTAATGTTTATTTATTTTTGAGAGAGAGCTTGTGCTCTGAGAGTGCACATGAGCTGAGGAGGGGCAGAGAGAGAGACAGAGGATCAGAAGTGGGCTCCATGCTGACAGCAGAGAGCTGGATATGGGACGTAAACTCACCAACTGTAAGATCATGACCTGAGCGGAAATAGAGAGTCAGATGCTTAACTGACTGAGCCACCCAGGCACCACCTCAGTGTTTTAAAAATAAAGATCAAATCTTTACTTAGTGCTACTTAGTACCATCTAATTTTAATATCCACAATAACCCTATGAGGCAAATCTGATTATTATTCCAATTGTACCTATGAGGAAACTGAGGCTTATAGAGATTAAGTTGTCCAATGTTACACTATTAAATTGAGGAGTTCAAGTTAAATCCAGAGATTTAGAGCTTGAAATATTTTTATTTTATTTTTTTTACTTTTTAATTTACATCCAAGTTTGTTAGCATATAGTGCAATAAGGATTTTATGAGTAGAATCCAGTGATTCATCCCCTACATATAACACCCAGTGCTCATCCAAACAAGTGTTTTCCCTAATGCCTCTTGCCCATTTAGCCCATCCCCCCCACTCACAACCCCTCCAGTAACCCTCGCATTGTTCTCTATATTTAAGTCTCTTATGTTATCCCCCTCACTGTTTTTATATTATTTTTGCTTCCCTTCCCTTATGTTCATCTGTTTTGTATCTTAAATTCCACATATGGGTGAAGTCATATGATATTTGTCTTTCTCTGACTGACTAATTTCACTTAGTATAATACACTCTAGTTCCATCCATGTTGTTGCAAATGGCAAGATTTCATTCTTTTTGACTGCCGAGTAATACCCTGTTGTATATATATACCATGTCTTCTATATATATTCATCTGTCAGTGGACATTTGGGCTCTTTCCATACTTTGGCTATTGTTGATAGTGCTGCTATAAACATTGGGTTTAGAGCTTGAAATCTTAACCACTATTCTTATAGCCTTTCTACATACATACTCTAGGCTACTTACATATTAATTTTTTAATATTTATTTATTTTTGAGAGAGAGAGAGAGAGAGAGAGAGAGCATGAACAGGGGAGGGGCAGAGAGAGAGAGGGAGACACAGAATCCGAAACGGGCTCCAGGCTCTGAGCTGTCAGCACAGAGCCCCACGCAGGGCTCAAACTCAGGAACTGTGAGATCATGACCCGAGCCAAAGTCGGACGCTTAACTGATTGAGCCACCCAGGTGCCCCAAGGCTATTTACATATTAAATATGCAAATAAAACTATCTTAAAATAGTCTTATTATAGTAAATAGCAGTACTTAACCATCTTGTCATGCTTGGATGTTTCTACTTCACTGTGTAATTTCTTTTTTTCCAAACAATCAGATTTTTAGAGATTATAGGGACTGGTTTCAAAGTAAAGTGTTGTTTATTGAGCATCATTCAGGAAACTTATTAGAAACTTGATTTATATGAACATTGGACAGTTCCTTATCATGCACCAAAGAAGGTCACTGGAAAGGTTAAAATATTTCCATTGCACTCATTCTATGACTCCCACTCTCTTTAACTGAACTACTAAAAAAAACTTGAGGACAAGCTGTTTCCAAA